CCCCCCCCACCAGCAGCAGCAGCAGCCGCCGCAGCAACATGGTCCTTCAGCCATGGCCATTGACTCTGAGACGGCATATCGACGATCTTTCCAGCCTGGCGTGGGTGAAGCGGTTCAGCTTGACGAACGCCGTAATTTGAACATGTATGATGCCAGCCTGCAACGTGGATTAAACCGTCTAGATATTAGCCACAAGACGCCCCCTCGTGATAGCGCCGGAAGTTGGGCCTCCGAGGCCAACAGGGCTGTTCAGGCCCAAGCTGAGCGCGTTCAGATGCAAACCAATCAACCAAGCGTTCGATTTCAGGATCAGGTACCTCCTTCCCGACAGTTTCCAGCTTCTGTGCATAGTGGTCGATCTCTTCACCAGCACACCATGTCGGCGCCGTCAATTGCAACGCCACGAGAGAATAAAAGACACGGTTGGTACCACGGACCTGCGCCGTCGCAGGCACCCGGTGAGCATGTTATGCAGGATGCCCGCGGCGCCCATGTTGATCGCATGGTTCACCCAAACTTCACCGGTTTTAGCGGCTTTCCGGGCAGAGAACAGCCGGCTCAGACGCAACAACAGGACGGAAAAGCAAATCCCGACTCGCTCAGGCGCTTGGAGGCGCTTGTGGCCGTCGCGACAAGCGAGGGAACGACAGCGACAGCCTACTAGAGAAGTAGCTTGTCACTCTTCTTCCCAGAATCAGTACTGGTGGATTTCTCCTCTCTACTTTGGACTCCAGACTTGTCTACTATTTCGTACCGGGCATGTCGGAAGCTATGGCCTCCTTTCTTGCTGACACGCCTTGCTTCCTTTGGAACATACATGTTTACCTTTGTTGTACCCGAGTTTCCTCACAAAGACGTGTTTTTTCCCTTTTGGTTTGCGACTTGAAATCGGATCATGACGTGATGAGATACCCACCGGCCGTTATGAGATGGTCAACTGAGAGGCGGCCGTAATACACGATTGGCGAAGAGATTGGGACAGCGCTTAGACGAAGATATCGACGACTCACGTTATGAGGTGGATCAACGGACTGTTGGATGCTATGGCGTTTGTCTCGCCGTGATAGCTAATGACCGGCTGCACCTTTCTTTCTGGATGGATTAGCGTTTGTTTGTGATACCCTGATGTTTGATACCAATTCGGAGGGGTTTGTGTGGTGTTGGTCACTTTTTTTTTTTTTTTTTGCATTTTGTTTAGGATGCTGGCGTTTAACTAACGACTTTCTTTCACGGATGGATGATTGGATGACGGGACAGGATAGTGTCAATGTGATTGATGACTGATTATATTGAACTGTGGTGAATGATGTAAATGATTATCATTTCCGACGAACATAGGCAACAAGTCCCAAGTGTGGCCAAGTTGATGCAAATTCCTGTAGCCGGGTACCAGTGGGGGAGGGAGCATGGCATGGCCGCGGAGCTAATTGGCTTGTGGTAGCCGTGTATTACGGAAGACTTGAGGTAGAAAGGGAGCAAGCAGTAGCTTGAAAGGACTGCATAGTACTTGGCCATGACTCTTGATGAGACGGTCATGACTGGATTTCATAGCGCTAAACTAACCAACTGGATCACCTCTTGTGTCACCCTCCAAGCATTCATCAAACGCGGCGACGGTGGGACGCAGATGATGCGTCAGTCCTTGCTCGACACATGTATCACAACCTTGCCGGCCGTCGAGCCCGTCTGCAGATGCTCAAAGGCCTGCAACGCGTCGCCAAACTCGAACGTCTTGTCAATGACGGCGGTCAGCTTGCCCTCGTTCACCCACTGCGCCAGCGCATCCCAGTCGTCGCGGTTGCTCGACGTCAAGTACAAGACGACCTTGTTCTTGCCGCCGCCCAGAAACGACGGCCGAATCAGGTTGGCGACGGCCGAGGCGGCGTGGCCAATGTGCTTCCCGGCGGCGACAATGACGAATACGCCGTCGGGGAGGAGGACGCGGCCGGCGCGGGCGTACAGGTTGGGCGGGTCGTAGCCGACGTTGTCGGCGATGAGGCTGAAGACGCGGCCCCGGGCGGCGAGCTCGTCGACGACGTCGGCGGCCCCGTAGTCGATGACGTCGTCGGCGCCGAGGGAGCGGCACAGCGCGGCCTTGGCGGCCGAGCAGGACACGGTGACGTGGCACCCCAGCAGCTTGGCGACCTGGATGCCAAAGGTGCCGACGCCGCCGGACCCGCCGTTGATGAAGACGCGGGCCCCCACGCCGCTGCCCACCGAGACCACCTCGCCGCTGAGGTCCATGCCCACCGTCTTGGGGAACGGCAGGATCGCCCGCGCCCCGAACCCCATCGCCGGCACCTTGTAGTCGGCCGGGTTGATGGCCGCGCTGATGACGCGCACCTGGATCTCGTGCGGCTTGAGCGCCGGCGGCGGCCGCGCGACCGTCGTGAGCTGCAGTGTGGTTTGGACCTCGCCGGGCGTGGCGAGCTGCCATGCCTTCATGTCGGCCATGGTGGCGGCTCTTTTTTTTGTCCCTTTCTTCACGTAAGGCTTTGTTGGTGGATTTGATGCCAGATGGGTAAATGAGGTGATTTGCGCAGGTGATGCAGCAGTCAAGTTGGGAGGGGGTCGTCGAAACTGTCTCTGCCTCGGATAATATATCCCTGAGTGTGTTGCGGTCTAAGTACATGTAGGGGCCCCACCTTCTTTGCAATACATACCGGTACTTCCATACTATCAGAATCAGCCTATTTCTCTTAAGGGATATATAGCTCAAGGTAGCGTTGGAAATACTGGAGCTTACTAGGTATACTATTATATTATCTCTTGGTAGTAGCAAGTGTCTTTCAAGATGGTGCTTCTTGTTGGCTAGAATCCAGTCCAGTGCATGGGACCTTGACACATTCAAAGGGACGAGGACTCGACGGCCAAGGTTGCGGAGATGACGACGGCATTGGCATCGCGGCCCGGGTCCACCAAACGGTGCGTTGTGGCCAATCAGCTTTGTGGGGGGTCGGACTTGGCGCCTGCGATGCGGACTTGGAATTTCCAAAAGGGGCAATAGGCATTTGCGTCTTGTGGTTTTGTGAGATTCGCGTCACTCGTGGGTGGCAGGGCAATGCTGTAGATGTTTTGATATGGGTTACACTTATGACCAGGCAAGCATTGACTGCCGTGGTGCTCCCCAACCTATGTACGGCGACGACCACGTCTTACCGGCGCCTCTTGCGTCGCCGCATCATCTAACTTCCGCGGTAGTCCACGTCAAGGCTCCGGCCATACGAGGCACAAACGGCCCGCATCCGACTGCGTCCCTATCAATAGTTTCTGTGAAACGCAGAAAAGCTACCTGTAACGCTGTGCCGAGTCCCGGCCCGATAGAGACCGGCACCGGCATGGTGAGGGCCTTGGCGTCGAACCGGAAGCAGGACACGTACCTGGAATGGTTCTCGAGAGTGACACAGAAAAGTGGTACAGGAGTTGGGGGATTGCCGGGGAGACAGGGGAGGGTGGTGGAAGGGTATCTTGCTGGGACTGGGGTTTCGTCCGCGAGGTTATATTGTGTTTGGGGGGAGGGGTATGTTTGTCACTCATGACTGGGCTGAGTCCGCGAAAGGCATGGAGCGGGAGACCAATAGAATCTGGTACCGCCCTTCAAGTCTTGGGCTCTACTTCAACGTAGTTAGTGGGTTGAGCCCGAAGAAGGCATGTGTGGCACCGTAATGAGTCCTACGATTCTGCGTACGTTTTTTCCCCGTATGGGACCAGCCTTGGCGATGAGGAACATACAACCGACCGTTCTACCGAAGCGCAACAACACACGGCCTCGGGAAATGTACACGTCCTCCCCAGTCCGCCAGACCTCCCTCTATCCTGTATACGTTTCCCATCTCTGCACCGTGTTCCCGCCCAACACGCCGCAAGCACCACTACCATGGCAAACCGCTCCCACGCCGAGACGGCGAGTCCTACCCTCTTCTTCCTCTCCGTCTACGACGACGGTCGTCCTCTGGCTCGTCGACCTCGTCCTCTGGAAATGTCCAACTCCCGCCGCTCTCCTCCCGCTCCTCACCAGCGCCCTCGGCACGCCATCTCGATATTTGCCCTTCGGAACAGGCTACTTGTCCTCCAGGGCATCCAGTTCGCCGCCCTGCGCCCGCATCTCGCCGAGAACAGCATGATTCTCAGCGCAACCATGTTGCTGCTGTGGCGAAGAAATGAGCACCACCACGGCGCGTTACAACCGCACAGGGAATACTCGGCAGAATGACAGCGCCGACATGTTCGAAGGGGGGGTTCCTGTCGCGCCTCTGCCTCAACAGCGCGCAAAGTAACCGTGCGTGTATCGTGTCTTGAAACCGGCAAGTAGGAGGGCAACCGAGCAGGCGGCAACCGCCCCCAGTCGAAAACCTCGCACGCCTCGCCGTGTTTTCCCCCATCAACACCGGGCATCTTGCGCCAACCACACGCTCATTTATGCGCAATTTTTAAAATTTTCCATTCGGCAAAATTCTTTTCTTTATTAAAAAAAAAGCCACACAATCATGTTCTCCGGGGACACGAGCGACGCCACCGCCTCCAGCACACTGACGTCGCCCTCGTCGTCCGTCTCGTCCACCTCGTCCTCGTCCTCGTCCTCGTCCAGCGACTACGAGCGCACCCCCGAGCGCAAGAGCCTCAACCGCTCGCTCGGCGTGTACAACACCATACGGCGCGTCTCGGCGCTCCTGCCGGGCGTCATCATCGCCGTCGACGCCTGGTGGATCAAGTCGGACAGGCTGTGCAGGCCCGGCGACACAGTGTCCATCTGTAACAAGGTGATTGTGCTGACGTTCCCCGTGGTACGACACCTCTCCCCAGTCCTACGCGCTTGCTCGAGGGCCGGCTAGGGCGAAGACGAGGGAGAGGAATACTGACACTGCGCGCTAGGGCCTCGCAGCCTTCCTCTTCGACGTGGCGACCATTATAGTCAACCGCCTCGGCATCCCGGGCGTGTCGACCATGCCGCTGGCCATCAGCGTCATGTGCCACGTCGTATTGGCCTTTACGTGCTTCATCTCCTTCGCCGGGCTGTTCCTTGTCCTCAAACACTCGGTCAACTTTTCGTGGCCCGCGGCTGTCTTGTTCATCATCTTGGTGTCTTCTTTGGGGTACGTTGCCGTCCCTCCTGACTTGTATGGAGAATGCCATGCGTCTTGACTAGACGCGAGAGAGAGAGAGAGAAAAAGGGGACCAGGTGAGCTGATACTGTGCAGAGTCTTGTCTTGTGCTGCCTTCGTCTACGGAGCAATTTCGTGGCGCTAGGAACGGGTATGCATCAAACTGGAAGCCGACGAGGTCTGACCAGTGGTATTCTGTAGGTATAGTACATATCATTACATGAGTAGCCTTATTGGCCATGATTTTTCTGTTGTTACATTTCATCTGCTTGGACGCCCACTCTCCCCTTCTGGATCATGCGTGGCCTCGTGGTGAATGAATTGGTCATGGCAGAGTTTTCGATGCCATCGCTGCCATCACATTGGGAACCCCTCCAAGATGCAAGTTGAAACGAGAAAAAAAAAAAAAAGAAGAAGAAGAAAAAACACCTCTTCTTCTCGTCGACATGCATCAGATTCCCACCCCGGCAAAGGCTCCACTCGCCGCAAATCTCAGCTGATACTCTCTCAAGTCAGCCCAATGCCGCAGCTCCTCCTCCTCATCCTCCGCCGTCATGTGGTTCGGATCACTTGCGCGACTCGCCGCGGCAGGACCCGTCTTCTCCAGCTTGATCAGGATGTCAATCAGTTGTGACAAGGCCTCTTCCGACTTGATAGCCACCGGGCCCTTGCGGTCTGCCGAGTCGTTCAATAGCGTCGATGCAACCTGGCGGATCTTGTTGATGAGCGACAGTCCGTTGGGTTCCATGTTTCGCTGCGAGATGCATCCCAGCACCTCAAGGAGGTTCTGCACAATTAATTCCCGTTCCGCGGCCATGAGAGCAAAAATCTCCTTGTCGTCGGCGTCTTGCAATGCTCGTTCTTCCTCGCTGCGGTCCTCCACCGGATTATTCTGCTCATCAGCCAGGTGTACGTCTCGGAGGTTAAAGTACAATTCTACAAAGTACGACCGCGTCGCCAGTTGAGACATGAAGATGTTGGCCTTTTGAATCTCGTACTGTAAGCGACGCCGCTGGGCTGGCTGCGTCTTGATGACATTGCGGACATCGTGGGATGGTTGTGCGTTTGGCCAGACAGGCGGTACGTATTGGAGGCCTGACTCGTCCAGTGTCGCCAGTGAATTCGCGTCTTCACCCTGTGCTGAAAGCTGCAGCTCTGGCGGAAGGTTATCGATGATGCCCTTTGCAGCCATCAAGCCATCCCGTAGAAGGATTCGCTGGTCCGCCCAGGGCAGCGTGTTCATGCCGTACGCAAGCTCCAGGCTGACAACGCCATTCATCGTCGTGTATATGTCAATGCCAAACCGGAACCCTGTCAGCAGTGTGACGGTCCCCTCGGCCTGGTGAATAATCTCATTCGCCAGGACGCAGATGTCGTCGACATTCTCAGGATACGAGGGATAAGGCAAGCTCGGCGTAGATGGTGCAATGACCAAATCCGACCCAGTCATGCCTAATTGAGCCATGGACCTACAAACGTCAATGATTTGGCCATGGCCAGAAGCAGGATTCGAACGCGTCCACTTACCTAATGCCCAACAGGAGACACCAGAACAGGCGCTTCCCGATCTGGTCCTTGACGTGATTAAACGGCAGAGGCTCGGTCGAGTATGGATCTGTGCCAAAGGTTGGCAGATCCCCGGCGTGTTTTGGCCGCATGAAGCCCAGTTCCCGTATCAAAATCAACGTCTCTGCTACAAAGTGGCGCGCGGGATTCCCCTGCAGCGTATAAGCCCCAGCCAAGCCGAGGAAGTAGCTCGTACAGGCATCGTCCAGCGTCTTGGGCTGTTTCAAGACCCATTTACTACCGCGTGTAAGAAGCGCAATGTCGCGACATTTCTCCACCAGGACTATGGCCTTGGGGAACAGATGCGTGCTGTGCTGCGCCTTGAGGTGCTCCCTTGCGCTCCTCGGAAAAGACGCGACCAAGGCACCAACCATGCTGGCCAACAGTCCCAGAAACTCGGGCCTCGTTCGGTCTTCACGGTTCGCAAACGACTGTCGAAAGGTGGGCTCGTGGGGAAACGGCGCCAAGGGATGTATATAGGTGAAGAAGTCGTCGACGAGAAGCTCCAGCACGGGCATGGGCGCAATGGACTCGGCGTCGAGAATGCCATCCGACGAAATGTTCATCAAGGCCTTGGCCGCATTCTGGGGTGACGGGGATGCAGAGGGGAAGCCGGCAGCAGCCATCTCCAGTCGCTGCCGCTTCGCCGCCTTTGCCGCTTCGGCGTGCTTGTTCGGCGGGCCGCGTCTCTTGGTTTCTCGTTCATATGTGCATTCGACGCCCAGCTCGCGACACGGCCGGCAGGGAATGTTGCTGTCGTCACACTTCACCTTTCGCATGCTGCACATGTCACACGCCCTCCTTAGGCGCGTAAGCTTTGGGTTGACGGTCGGGTCGCGCATGACGCCTCCCGGACCGGCGACCAGGTGCTGCTGTATCATGTCTGGACCCTGAGCAAGCCCAGGCATGCCCACGCCCTGGGGCTGCTGGGACACCTGGGACACCTGGGACACGGCTTCGGCTGCGACTGCTGCTGCGGCATGTTGAAGGGCTTGGGGATTCTGGATGGCCTGCGCAGCGTCGCTGGCGGCTTGGAGGATCTCCAGGCCATTGCTGGCGTAGGCATGCGCAGTCGCGTGCTGCGATGGTGATGGGGGTGGAGAATCCGACATTTTCAGGCAGAGCAACAGGGCCGGCCGGCAAAGGCACGGTTAGAATTGGACGCGCGCGACGGTGAAGGTTGCGAAGGCTGATTGTCGGCGGATTTCCGGATCTTGATGAGTTGAAGCGAGGTGACGCCGGCCCAAGGCTCCAAAATTTTGGTGTTGGCCATGTGGATGATCACGTGCTGGCCCGTGTACCGGGCCTGGTCTCGGCACTTGGTCTCTTACCCTGATTTCGCGATGTCTAGGCGGATATGACTACCTCCTACCTAGGTAGGTAGTTACTCCGTGCCTGTTCGGATAGTCTCGTGATGCTATTGACTGCATGAAGAGTGGTCTGGACAGAAATGCACAGCCACTCTGTCACCTCCTCAACACGCCGATAAATGCTGCGCAATCCAACGGCACACATCCTCCGGTCCGAAATATCCAGAATCGCCAGGCTAGGCAATATACAGTTCGGAATCCCCCCAGAATTACGGCTTTATTGCTCTGCCCGTCATCGCGATTGCCGCCGGGGAAGCTGCGTCTCGGATAACAGGGCAAAATAATAAGGTCGAGGAACCCCCCCTTGGACCGGATGAATCGTTTCTTCTGCAAAGTCCCCTGAATACTAGGAAACCTACGGAGTATATCTCCAGTACGGAGTACATGCAAGTGGGCGCTCCGGCGTGATGACAATTCCAAAACAAAGGCTTCAAGGCCGTGGCGGCTCCCCGAGAGGCTGGTACAGAATTCGCGGGGATGGCAAGGATATCGACGGCACGGGCTTATTTTGTACAAGTTATATCACAAAAAAAGCAATAACATCGCTGGGTCAAAGAGATTAAATGAATGGAATGTACTATGAGAACGCCATCTTCAAGAACTGTACCCTTTTTAGCAACATATTCTCCACTCAATCTGGAAACATCTGGAAGTCCCTGATGTCCGGAACCCCGTACCTCGGCCCCTCAGTGCCGATAAACGTGTTCAAATCCGGGGAAAACCAAGACAACGGCCGCTTGTGGAATTCATCTTCCCGCGCGAATCCTCCCACTCTGGACGCGGTCCCAATGACCGATGCGGCGTTATTGCCAAGTATGGCTGAGAAACTGGAGCGCGGTAAACCAGGTGATTGGCCGGATCGTATGTCCATACTCTCCTTGGATGCTTTCGCTACCGTGTGTAGACAGATTCGACCTTGGCTAATGACGCAGCCCGCTCGGCTGTGCACATTGACGGTTCTTCTTCTTGGTCGCGTACCCCTTTTAGGCTCGTACGTACGACAGAAGCGGGTTGACTCGCCTTTTTCCTCTACATGATTTTCCCCAAATTTTGTGGCTTTGCTGGCTCCCAAATGCCGAGAGTCAAGCCTGATCAGCGGCGGCGTGGGAAGACGCCCAAGGTCCGTACGGGCTGTCGAACATGCAAGTCAGTCTCGCGCAGCGGATGGGAGGGTATCCGCGGTCTTTGTGCAGGATGCCAATTTCTGTCCCAAGCTCGGTGTGGACTGAGCAGTGCTAATCGTCTACCAACACTGAGCTGAGTTTCATCGTCGTGGTGCCATCGCCTGTCCGCCGAGAGGAATCCCGTGCCCTTCAGTACCTCTGTGAAGAAACCGTCTCTCAAATGACGTTTTTTCGTCATGAGTTTTGGACGCGGCAAGTGATGCAGGTTGCCCACTCGGATGAATGTATTCGGCATTCTCTCGTTGCACTGTCGTCCTACCACGAGTCCTTCTCCAGTCCAAAGCAGGCCAGGCGGAATCAATTCGCGTTGCGCCACTACAACATGTCGATTAGCGGGATCCTTGGATCGCCGAGGACTGCAGAAAATGCGCACTTTCATTTAATGTCGTGTATCTTGCTTATCTGCATCGAGGTACGGGCGGTTATTGCCCATCTCAAGGCCCGTATGCTGAAATAGTCTCCCATAGGCATTGCAAGGACACATATCGACGGCAGTGCAACTTGTCAAGGCAGGCTACAGAATCTCCAAGAACAAAAAAAAACCAACTGGCGAATAACAATGGCGCAAAAAAAAAAAAGAAAGGGGCCATTGTCTGATGCCAGTGCTTTTTTTTGGCTTCGCTGACAGCTTCCTGCGCCGCATCATCGCTCAAATATACATGGTAAGGAAACAAGGTGCAAGGCACAAAGCTTTGCAGCCGATACGACGTTGCAGTTGATAAGAGACTTGGATCCGGACATAAAAACCATTGTAACAAACATTCTGCAGCCCGGCGAGCTGTCGCGCTCCTTTGACTTTACTTCTCTGGCCGACGCCCAACAGGGACTGAGTGATATTCGCCTACAGTTCGAGAGGTGTGATATGAGGGGGCTCGTGGAAAAGGTCTCGGCCTGGTCCACGGCATTTGAAGAATGCAAATCATTAAACTCTGCAGCTCTCACATCTCGAGCCAACAGGAGAGCAGTGGCTTTGCTGGAACTACAGTCGAGGTATTGTGCGGTTGATATTGCCATCAACTGTGCTGGCCATCAAGCGAACCAGCTCCTCTGGGATCGATACATTGGCGCCTTTACCGAAATGCTGGATTTTGCTGAGAAAGCAATGGATTTGCAACATCCAGACATGAAAGGTGACGCAAGTTGTTCACCCCAGTTTCATATGCACTCCGGTACGGTGCCGGTGCTATACGGGATAATTGCGAAATTTCGAGACCCGACGATTCGCAGACGCGCCATCGGGCTCATGGCCTCTTGTTCTCTGCAAGAAGGCGTGTGGAACAACAATCTTGTACTAGGGGTTGCACGGAGGATCATGGCCATCGAGGAGGGGAGTCTTGGTCTATGGCCGGCATCATGCATAGACATCCCTGCCGAGCCTAGAGTTCGTTCCACTGCAGTCGCAGCAGGTGCAGGTGATAACCAGTATATGGTTGGCTACCAACTAGGTCGCGGCTGGTGGTGGGAGGGGCTGTCCTGGACTGAGGCGAAACCTCATTAATCATTTAGCGATACGTGCGGTGTCAAGAGCTGTTGAGCTGGTAATATCATACTTTACATCTCACATTGACCGCTTTCTGAGCATGAACCTGAGTGATTAAGCTACTGTATTGTATTTGTGTCGTATGTGTTGTTGACCTTTGAGTGTGGAGCCGACACTCATCGGGCGCACCTCGCTTCTGTAACCGAGCCATGTCGTTCTTCGCCATCCCATCTTTTAGGCTTAGATCTGATTCAGGTCCGATGGTTCAGATGCACATAAGATGGGACCTCCGTTATCTAGAAATCCAGTACGAGCTGTCCAATCGAGTGCCAATCGATCTCGTAACCGGCTTCCATTTTGGGCCCATGATCGCCTCAACCGCCAGCAGGCCCACTTGACCGTCAGTGCGGATATTGTTCTTCGGCCCTGCACGCAAGCACGATCTGTGCGATATGGTCCAGGGCACGGGCGACAAAGATACTAATACTTATCCACTGGACCAGGAACAGACGGGATGGTTCGTCCGTGCCCTTGAATCGTGGCCAAACCCATGTCGCGGGAGTGCTGTGCGTGGAGAGTCCGTCGACGAAAATTCTAATTGCCCTCATCGCCAAGGTAGCTAGCTTTCTCTAGGCCTCGGATCTCCTTGAATGTGTTGACGACAAATGAGAGCGGAAGGCCAATCACGATGAAGTACATGAGTAGACTAATTCTGAGACTTTGGATAAGTCGCTCCATAAAGTTAGTAATGTCCCGCTAACAATAAGAACCGCGTCGTATTGATGGCATGCCACTGTTGTTTGTTTTCGCCGTAGGGCGTCAGTCATGGTCATAGTTTAGTTTAAATGCTCAATTGCCAGCCCTCTCCTCGTTGATTGAGGCAAAATTGAGAACACAGAGGACAAGACCGCGATAAGCCCACGAGCCATGGAGCTGCAATCGTTTTTTTCATGGTTTCTTGGTCTATTTGTTGTCTTGCTCTCATCTGTACCTGGAATACTTGCTGTGCCGGGTTCATTCTCTGAGACACATCGCCCAGACTGGTCAAAAATCCATTCGCGATTTGCGTCTCGCTCTCAAAAAAACTCGACACAGGATAAGTACCTCATTGGTACCGGGAAAGCGGACATCACAGGACCGGCGGCCGATATCATCCTTACCGGCTATGCAAACCTCGAGCAGGTCGGCGGCGGTATTCGGCAGAGGTTGTTCAGCCGAGCTTTTATTATTGGTGATGTGAACAACCCCGAAGACAGGATTGTCTATGTCGTTCTTGATAATCTGGTCGGAGATACGGCTATCCGCTTTGGGGTTTTGGATGCGCTCAAAGGCATGGGAGCCCCCTATTCCGTCTATGGCCAGACCAACGTTGCACTTGCGGCAGCACATAGCCATTCCGCGCCGGGTGGTTGGAACAACTACTTGGTTCCTCAAATTCCGTGCTTGGGGTTCACCGAAGAAAGTTATCAGGCCATTGTTGACGGTGCGGTGCTGTCCATCAAACGAGCACATGAAAGTCTTGAAGAGGTGAGGATCCAGAGCCCATGGTCTTTTTGACCGTGTCATGTCTGGCTTGCGCAATGCCAAACAAGTATTAGGATGGCAGCTAACATTTTGTACGCAAGGGATACCTTGATGTCGGCACCACTGAGATTACGGATGCCTCCATAAATAGATCACAATGGTCCTATTTGCAAAATCCTGCCGCCGAACGAGCCAGGTATGGTGCGTCCACCGACACAACTATGACTTTGTTGCGCTTCACCAGAGCCTCGGATAATAAAATAACTGGTTTGCTGAACTGGTTTCCGGTGCATGGTACATCGCTCTACCGAAATAATACCCATGTTGCGGGCGACAATAAAGGACTAGCAGCATGGATGACGGAACAAGAGATGAGGAGAGAGTCTGCATTTGCTAGCAATTTTATAGCGGCGTTTAGTCAAGCAAACCTCGGAGATGCCACCCCCAATGTAGAGGGGGCTTGGTGTGAAGACGGATCTGGCAAACAGTGTGATTTTGAGAACGCAACATGTGCAGATGGAACTGTTGCAAAATGTCAAGGCCGTGGTCCTCACTGGCAAGTTCAAGACCAAGGCGCAAGCAGCTGCCATGAGATTGCACTCCGCCAACTGAGGGGTGTGAAAGAGATTCTGGTGAGCATCAATGTGCAGACGCATCGGCTTTCTTGTTTGCAGAACATGCTGACCTGGTCCGCCAGACTTCCATGTCCAAATCCTCCACTCCTGTTCAGGGGCCCACGGTTAAGTCGTTTCACTTCTTCCACAATATGGAATATTGGGAATTCACATTACCGAATGGGAAGGCTGCCATGACTTGCCCTGCCGCACTTGGGTACGCCTTTGCCGCCGGGACGACGGATGGCCGAGGCGAATTTGACTTTGTTCAAGGGGACAACGGTAAACCACACAACCGTGAGTGGGACTTTCTTACGCACCTCATCAAGAATCCATCCCAGCGTCAAACAGACTGCCAAAAGCCCAAGCACATATTTCTCAGTGCAGGAGAGCTTAAAGACCCGTATGAATGGGAACCAAGCATCGTGGATGTCATGATGTTTCGAGTCGGTCAGCTGGTCATGATCCTAAGCCCCAGTGAGGTTACCACGATGAGTGGCCGGCGGTGGAGGGAAGCCGTTGGGAAACAGGCAACTTCATTTGTTGATGACCCAATTGTCGTTCTTGGCAGCCCGGCCAATACCTATGCGCACTACGTCGCGACGCCCGAGGAGTACGATGTTCAGCGTTATGAAGGCGCTTCGACACTCTTTGGCCGTAATGAACTCGACGCTTATATCAATCTCACAGTCAGCAATATGCATTACTTGAAGCCCAACGCGACAGAAAAGCCGGATCAGGGAATTTTGCCACCCGATAATAGAAAGAAGTCATTTGATTTTGTGTCGCCTGTGATATACGACACAGCGCCTCCCCTCAGACCGTTTGGCCAGGTCTTGAAGCAGCCCCAAGCCGGGTACAAGCGTGGCGATACAGTCAAGGCAAGTTTTCAAGGGGCGAATCCACGGAATAATCTGCGCCTCGAGGGAACTTTCGCGGCGGTTGAGAAGCAGGGCGGGGACGGGACATGGAGCCAAGTCGTCGACGATGCGGACTGGTATCTCGTGTATACGTGGCGGCGCACAAGCACTCTCCTAGGATATAGCGAGGTCGACTTTACGTGGGATACGTCGGGGAACGCTGTACCAGGAAGATATCGATTCAAGTACTACGGCGATGCTAAGAAGCCCGGTTTGGGCATTGAAGCGTTCACTGGAACTAGTAATGCATTCGAGATCAGTTAGTTTTTTTTTTTTTTGGTGGGGGGGAGGGGGAGGGACAGATAGCACGTAAAAATGCAATATGGGTGTTTTTGGCGGAGCGTGGATACAAATTTTCTCGACAGTTACGGAGTAGATGTGAATGGATGGTCGCGTTGACAAGCATGATATTGGTTCATGTCCCGAGGTTTTCATCTGGCTGCCGGCCCAGCACTGGTCCCCATTGGAACTAGCGAATCGAGGAGCCGGAACGTTGGGAAATGTGATTGTTTCGTAGACTAGTGATGCAGGTGATTGCAAACGGCGGGCGGTTGCTGCCCAAGAGCCGCCGGGCCTCTTTAACCGAGGCACAGTTCCCTTGCTGGCATTGCGGCCTCACCGTAACTTGCGACTTCGTCCCACAGATGGGCTGGTTTAGGTGTCTTGGACCCTGCAGCCTCACTGGGCACAGGAGAGGGTGATATTTGCTGCATGTTGGATGCCGTGGTAGCTTTGGTAAGATCCATTGGCGTAAATACTGTACAAATGTATGCAGAGAATCGTCGCTGCGAGGTGCCCAAGCACCAAAGCACCAAACCCTGACCAACACCGGCTAGTGGAGAATGGCGCTGCACCGGATAAAGAGATCCCTGCATCCGAGGGGCGGTTGAATTGAAGCTGAGAGCAAATTTCGGCTGCGCGGTGGTGATGAGGTGAGATGGTTTGCAAAAGAGATTGCGAAGACAAGATTGAGACAATGATGTCTGGTCAAGGATACGTTGAATGTTGCGGTGGAAGGCAAGCCAGTCGTGCCTGCCCCTCATTGCTGGTGCCCCTCCGCGACGCGGTGGTCTCGCTGGCATATCACGCACTGGACAAAGGAGGTCATGCAGGCTCTTTATTCCTCGCATCGATTTCCGTCACAAGAGCAGCGTGGCATGTTGAAACGATCCATGATGATGACAAGACAGCCATGCAGCTCCTTGCAGCTTTCAAACCAACCAACGGAAGCTGGCAGCGTTGCCCAAACCCCGTCCACGGTCATGCATTCCAGGCAAATCTATTAGCAAAGCGAAATCACGAACAGGCCACAATATCCATCTGCCGCGACAGTGCTGACAGATCCGGCGGCGCAACGGCCAGGGTTACGAGGGGCTTCTTGATCGCTAAGTGCTGCATCAGGAGTGGGAAGGAGTTACTCCGTATTGTGAAAAGGATCTCGTCTCGTCCGGCAGACTCATGTGGTCTGCAACTATTAGAACGGTCGGGGAGCATCGTTCTCTCGGCATCTTTCAAACCGGGAGATCGACTTGCATTCCCCCAGCCACAAGCATAAAAAGACTGGCGAATCGGCCTTGGCGCCTTCACATGCTCCCCAGTTAGGCGCACGCAAGATCCACAAGATTGAACTCTAGAGTTCCTTGAACAAACACTGTCTGGAGTCAGTCCCCCAGAGTTGTCAACGCAACCCGAGGCAATTAGAAGCGGCGACACCGGTGCTTGCGACTGCGACGCGATTTCCCATGGCCTACAACTCTCTCCGTACTTGACATTGATACTTGCGTTGGGGGAGCGAGCTGACGGTCCAGATTGCGACACCGACTACTCTCCGTACTTGATACCCGAGTGGTTGAACACCAATAAGACGCTCTTGAGTTGTATCGAGAGCCCGGACCCTGGCGAGGTGCTCGAGCTGACTTTGGCCGCCCTTCCGGAATCTCAAAGATTTTGTTGTGTTGGCTCAAGGTTCCTCCACAACCACCGTTTCAACGTTTGAACGTTCCCTCTTCACCACCAACCATAACGGTTGCACACAAACCCCAGCATCAACAGACAAGCAACAGTAACGCAACATTTGTCCTAACCAGCAACCAATAAAGCCGGGGGACGCCAATAGACGCAGCCACGATACCCATCTCGCTGGTGCCCATATCCTGGACCAGAGTTCCTTGCCTCGTCCCATTTTCCCTCGAGTGGGACCTGGTCAGCGTCATACCCCTCACTCCCCCAATCGAGGCCCAGTCCCATCCAAGTCCCAATATTCGAGGTTCCTTCAAATTCGCAGCTCGACCCAACACAGTCGAGTCTTCTGCGTCTCCTCTCCGAACCCGTCGAGACTCGAGTTTCGCCCATCAGCCCCTGCCTCTGCCAGCGACAACTACGACGATACACACTCCCGAGCCTGCTTGCTCCCGCGATGGCGCGCCGTGAATCTCTCTCAGAGATTCGCGCCGCCAACCCGGATTTAGGCCTCAGCGGCAACATCATCTCCGCCGCATTCAACATCCCCTATTCCTTTACCTACCGCAAGGGAGGCGATTGGGTGAGAACCAGCCCCGTCGCAAAATTTCAACTGTCCATGCTTGAGACTCTTGTTTTTTGTTGTTATTGTACTCTCGTAACTGACATCGTCACCTCCAACAGGACCTGAGACCCCGCCGAGGCCAATCCGCGCTTTTCGACTCCTTTGCCTACCTTTCCTCCAGTGCCACGCCGTGGAATCACACCCTCGTGGCCTGGACCGGCGAGATAGACTCTCCTCAGGAGACGCCTCTTTCTTCCGCCGCATCCTCTGGGCAGACGACGAGCAGTAGTCTATCGGGGCAGACGACCGTTGGTATCTCCTCCCTGAATGCTCTCTCAGCTCCCGTTCCCGTTGATGGTACTACGCGGCTTCCCACGCCACCGCCCCTCGACGGCCTTTGGCTACCGAAAGCCGACCAAGCTAAGCTGGAGTATGCCCTTTCTCACAGCAAAACTATTCGGACAGTGCCAGTATGGCTCTCGGACGAGGCGGACGGTTCTGAGGATGGCGTCATGTTGAAGGACCAGTCAAGGTGGCGGCGGTACGCACACCACCATCTATATGCCTTGTTTCATTACAAACAACACGAACCTACGGACGGTCGCAAAGAGCGCATTCAGTGGGCGGACTATTATCGCATGAACCAGAAATTTGCGAATAAAATCATCGAAATCTACAAGCCCGGAGACATTGTCATAGTCCATGACTTTTACCTGATGCTCCTCCCCAGCATGTTGCGCCAACGGAACCCGAACATGTACATATCATTCTTCCTACACTCTCCGTTCCCTAGCAGTGAGTTCCTGCGGTGCCTCCCGCGGCGAAAAGAGGTGTTGGAAGGAGTTCTCGGAGCCAATTTGGTAGGGTTTCAGTCGTACAGCTACTCGCGGCATTTTTTGAGCTGCTGCACCCGCATTCTTGGGTTTCCCTCCGATACTCTTGGCATCGATGCCTACGGGACTAGGGTTCAGGTAGGCGTCTTTCCTATAGGAATTGACGCTGCCAAGGTGGAGACGCACGCGTGGGCTGATTCGGTGAATGAGAAATATGATGCTTTGAAGAAGATGTATGCCGGTAAAAAGATCATTGTTGGACGTGATAGGCTCGATAGTGTCCGTGGTGTGGCACAGAAGCTTCAAGCATTTGAGCGGTTCCTTGAAATGTACCCGGAGTGGAGAGAAAAGGTGGTTTTGATCCAGGTCACTTCTCCAACCACGGTCGAGGCCGAAAAGGACGATGATGAGAGCAAGATTGCTACAAGAGTGAACGAACTGGTCATGAAGATCAACGGGGAGTTCGGCAGCTTGGGATTCTCTCCCGTGCAGCATTACCCACAATACCTGGACCAAGACGAGTACTTTGCTCTACTCAGAGCTGGAGACATTGGTTTGATCACTTCAGTCCGAGATGGTATGAACACGACGAGTTTAGAGTACATTGTCTGCCAAAGGCAGGGCAACGGGCCACTTATCCTCTCAGAGTTCAGCGGGACCGCGGGAAGTCTGAGTGACGCAATTCACATCAACCCCTGGGACTTGACTGGTGTTGCGGAAAAGATCAATAGTGCGCTTACAATGTCGGATGGCGAGCGAAGCGGAATGCAATCTCGCTTGTACAAGCACGTGACGACATACAATGTTCAAGCGTGGATTAACAAGTTTATTCGCAAGGTATACAATGTGCTGGGCGAAACCGACACGGTCAATGCGACGCCTCTTCTTGACCGTGCTGTCTTATTGTCCAAGTACAAATCGGCGGGCAAACGACTATTCATGTTCGATTACGACGGTACGCTGACACCAATCGTCCGAGAGCCCAGCGCCGCGATTCCGTCTGAACGCATCATCCAATCACTCAAGCGCCTTGCCAGTGACCCCAAAAATGCGGTATGGATTATTTCTGGCCGGGACCAGGAGTTCCTCGGGCAGCACCTAGGCCACATTTCTCAACTTGGGTTTTCGGCCGAACACGGCAGTTTTATGAGGGATCCTGGATCAGAGGAGTGGATTAATCTGGCAGAGAAGTTTGACATGGGATGGCAGGCCGAGGTTATGGAGGTGTTCCAGAAATACACCGACAGAGTCCCTGGTAAGGCGGCTGGACTACAATGGGAGAATTTTTTCCCGAGGTTCGATATAGGCTAACCATGGCAACAGGGTCGTTCATCGAACGGAAGCGATGCGCACTTACATGGCACTACAGACTTGCAGATCCGGAGCAAGGTGTGCACATGGCGCGAGAGTGCCACAAGGAACTTGAAAGCACGGTGGGCGCCAAATGGGATGTTGAAGTTATGCCAGGCAAGGCAAACGTGGAAGTTCGACCGACCTTCATCAACAAGGGCGAGATCGCCAAGCGGCTCATCGCAACGTATCATAACCCAGAGCGTGCACCGTCGCAACTCGACCCCAACCCGGGGCGTGTTGAGTTTGCGCTCTGCATGGGCGATGACTTTACGGACGAGGACATGTTCCGCAGCTTAAACGGAGCTACTGGCGAGGTGTTGCATCCAGACCACGTGTTTACTGTGACTGTGGGGGCTAGCACAAAGGTGACACTGGCCAAGTGGCATTTGCTTGAGCCTGAAGACGTGATTGAATGTGTGGCGTTGCTTGCAGGGGTTGGTGATGCCTCGGCCCTGAAGCAAATGGGCGAGGTTAACCTGGCTGCGCTGAGCACTGTAGAGGGACAGATTCCCCCCTCGGAGAAAGCGGGCATTCTGAACTGACGAGGCAGACATGAAGCAAGGACGGGGCTTTCTTTGCGTGGCAGCGGGGTTTTAGACGGCATGATGCTTTTTTTTTGGCCCCGGAGAAAAGGGGGGAAGGGCTACACAAGGATCACCATGGACGCATTGCAACTACAAGAAATTAGACATAGGCATTTGGTAGATGCACAGGGCGCAGAAGAAGAATCAAGCGCAAGAATAGAAGAGATATACAACATGATGATGGCATCTTTATCTATAGGCTATCCTGGAATTGGTTTAAACATGACATTTGCTCCAGCGCCGTCGCAGCGACATGGAAAGACTCGCGTTGTGCGTGGTCCAGGGGGGGGCACGCAGAGCCGTTTGCTTACGCTACTCCGTACATGTGACGCCGTTGGTTGACAAACGTCATCCACAAGACTGACAAAGCGGCCAGCGGAAGCGGTTAGCCCGGCTCTTATTCCCGGCAAAAGCGTCCACTGGCATTCAACCGACCAACGACGTCATGCTTTTTTCCGCCCGAAGTGGCCGACCGGCGTGGCTTGGCCCGCTCAACTCCGCCACTGCCGGACCGATTGTGCGAGTCAGAAGCCTGAAAAGGGTCGAGAATCGCATCTATTTCCACGAACTTGGTCACGGGAACAGTTGTACTTTTTTTTATAACTCGGGAGAGTGGACATGTACCTGGGCGGCGGGGTCTCGAGAATCACAATTCTTTGCAAAAAAACACCTCTCCGGCGTTGGTGGAGACTCGGTGCTTCGGCGGCGGCATAAGACGTCATGATGGGGAAGGCCGATACATGCTCCTTTTGGGGATGCTGGGGATGTTGGGGATGCTGGGCTTGCACCGTGGCATGGCTATCCGAAATGCACAATGCCCCTAGCCGAGGATGAATGCGTCTTGTCTCAGGACAAGTCGATTGGGGAGGGGGGTTGTGGACATGATGATGCCGTCTGCCGGTCGTGGAAGAAACATTGATGCTTACGACACGCTTGCTCAACAGAGACGGACCGATTCAGTCGGCGGATCCCTCTCACTTTCTGGAGCGAGCCCCGGTACCCCGTTGTTTCCCCTTGGCTTCCCCGTGGCCGGGTTCTCCGTGAGATGACAGTGTCCATGTCCCCCCATGATCGTGGAGAAGAACGTGGTGCCTCAACTTGGGGCCCCGTGGCCACCCGCGATGCGACGTGCGTATAAAGAGGGTTGGTGCCTGATCCTTGCCGCCCTGTTGTACTGCGTTTCCCATTGTTCTACACAGGGACATTGTTTTTTATATATACACGCACTGCTTAACAAGCCTTCCTGTCGCCCGCCATGAAGGGCTTCATGACAGTCCGATTCGACCATGTCAATCCCGCGTCTGAAAAGTTCAACCAGAATGAGGTCCGCGGCTCGCTGGCCGGGCTGGACTACTCCCCGCTGCCGAGGCTGACGATGCGGTCTCTAGCCATGGGCTGTCTGGTTAGTATGGGCGGACTGATGTAAGTGTTTTTTCTTTTCACGGCGGCCCTCAAAAACCCCCCCACACAGGCTTATACATGGTCACCAGTTTCGGCTACGACACGGGCCAGATCTCCGGATTCCTCGAAATGCCCGACTTCCTGGAGCGGTTCGGCATGACCAACCCCGACAACGGGCAAAAGTACTTCTCGGCGGTGCGGTCGGGGCTAATCGTGTCGCTGCTCTCCATCGGCACGCTCATCGGGGCGCTGACGGCGGCGCCCGTGGCGGACCGCATCGGGCGCAGGCCCTCGCTCTCGATATGGTGCCTGGTGACGGCGGTCGGGTTCGTGGTGCAGATTGCGGCCGTGTCGGCGTGGTACCAGGTCATGATCGGGCGGTTCATCGCCGGGCTGGGCGTGGGCGCGCTGAGCCTGCTGGTGCCCATGTACCAGGCCGAGACGGCGCCGCCGTGGATCCGCGGCGCCATGGTGTGCGCGTACCAGCTCTTCATCACCCTGGGCATCTTCCTGGCGGCCACGTTCAACTACGGCACCGTGACGCACCACGGCGGCGACTCGGGCAGCTGGCGCATCGTCATCGGCCTGGGCTGGGTCTGGACCGCCGTGCTGGGCGTCGGCATCCTGGCCTTGCCCGAGACGCCGCGCTTCGACTTCCGCCACGGCCGCGCCGAGCGGGCCGCCGAGACCATCCGCAAGGTCTGCGGCGCCGGGCCCAACCACTGGGCCGTCCGCACGCAGGTCGACGAGATCGAGGCCAAGCTGCGCGCCGAGGACACGGTCAAGCTCGGCCCCGCGCGCGAGTTTGTCGCCATGTTCTCGGCGCCCAAGATGGCGCGCCGCATCGCCCTCGGCGTCGCCCTCCAGATGTTCCAGCAGCTCACGGGCGCAAACTACTTCTTCTACTACGGCACCACCATCTTCCGCTCCGTCCAGATCAGCAGCTTCGTCACGCAAATCATCCTCAACACCATCAACTTCCTCGTCACCTTCATCGGCCTCTACATTGTCGAGCACTTTGGCCGCCGCCGCTCGCTCATGGCCGGCTCCGCCTGGATGTTTGCGTGCTTCATGGTCTTTGCCACCGTCGGCCACTACCGCTTCGACCGCCAGGACCCGCAGCGCACGCCCACCGAGGGCGTCGTCCTCATCGTCTTTGCCTGCCTCTTCATCCTCGGCTTCGCCACCACCTGGGGCCCCATGATCTGGACCATCCAGGCCGAGCTGTTCCCCTCGCGCTACCGCGCCAAGGGCATGGCCCTCGGCACCGCCTCCAACTGGACCTGGAACTTTTGCATCGGCTTCTTCTCCACCTTCATCTTCAACGCCATCGACTTCCAGTACGGGTACGTCTTCGCCGCCTGCAACGTCGTCGGCGGCCTCGTCGTCTTCTTCTTCGTCGTCGAGGGCCAGGGCCGCACCCTTGAGGAGATTGACACCATGTACCTCGAGGGCGTCACCCCCTGGAAGAGCTCCAGCTGGGTGCCGCCCCCGGCCGAGGACATGGCCCGCATCAGGAGGGAGGCCGGCCTTGACCTGGACGCGGCTGGCGGTGGCGCCGCCCCGCG